ACCACAGCATTAAAGCCCGTGATGTTTTGGATACACGGAGGGGGACTTACAGCCGGATCAGCATTTCAAGAGTGGTATAACGGGAGCGCTTTGGCCACACGTGAGGTGGTGGTTGTGTCCGTCAACTATAGGTTAGGACTGTTTGGGTTCCTATACGGGGATCGGGAGGACGCGCCCGGAAATGTCGGCTTTTATGACCAGTTATTGGCTCTTAAATGGGTATCTATTGATCACTTGTTTTAATTATAATTTCTATTTATGATAGAAATAATATATAAATTTATAACATAATAATAGGTTAAAGAAAACATCCACTCATTTGGCGGAGATAGAGATCAGATCACCATTTTTGGTGAGAGCGCCGGCGGGTGGTCCGTATCAGCACACATACTCTCTCCGTTATCCAAAGGTTTATTCAAAAGGGCTATCATTGAAAGCGGTGTCCTTATGTTTAATAAGGACAGGGATATAGTTAACACAACTGAGGCTTTAGTTAACAGTAAAACTCTTGCAAAACAATTGAAATGCAATGAAACCGAGGATTGGATACAATGTCTGCGAAGAGCGGACGCCAAAGATATAGTGAAATACGGTTCCTCTGGTATGACATTCCCGGTGTTTGGCACAGATTTTCTCCCCATTCGTACACAACAAGCCATAAATGATAAAATGTTTAATACAAGTAATTAATAATATAAATGATAACTTAATATATTGTAATATTAAAATAATATTTATTTATCATTTAAATTTTACATTAGATATTGACTTAATGTCTGGTATAACACACGATGAGGGATCAATGTTTGCAAACATGGTAGTCAAAGACCCGGAGCATATGACACTCACCGACTTTCATAGCGGGGTAAAAGCGCTCGAGTCGTACCGCTATTTCAACGTTGATTTTCCGAAAGTAACCGAACATTACCTGAAAGGTGTCAACACTAGTAGTCCGGCGGCACTTCTCACGGCATTTATCGCACTTTATAGCGATATATCAATCATATGTCCGACATATCTATTCGCCAAACGGTTCGCACAAACTGTTAAAGAGTCGCAAAGCGTTTACTTTTACGAGTTGTTGTATAAAAGCGAGTGGTTTGCCAAACAAGCGGGTTGTAGTGCGACCATGGGTGTTTGTCATATGATGGAATTGCCATTTGTGTTTGGTTTACCACTACTTGATCCTAACGATTACAGTCCCGAAGATATCTATTATAGTAATGTTGTGATGAAAATGTGGACAACGTTTGCCAAATCAGGGTAAAATGTGTTTTGATATTATATAAACATTATAAAATTTTTGTCAACTTATTAAAATTACAATTACACGGTTAAATTAATTCAACATATTTTCATATTTCTAGTCACATGGACTCTGATTGGCCGCAACTGTTAAACGATGAGCCGATGGGTGCGCCCAAAGTCCACGGTTTGGACCCAAAGGACTTACAGCTCGTACTGAAGGATCCGTTTCATACAACCTGTGATGGCTTATGGAGTGAATATTATTTATAAAATTATAAAAATAGCACTTATTATCATAATTTGCACTTTAAATTAATAGAATTATTTTATTTTAAAAGTTTAATACAAATAATTTAAGTTGGTATTATAAACGAATAATGCAAACTTACTTAGTTAATAGAATAGATTATTATAGATAAGATTAAGATTATGTTTTAAAATGCATTTTGGTTAATAAATGATTATAATTTACGATTATATTTTAAATGAAAGTTGTATTCAAAATTGTTACATATATGTTGCTGGTGCATTTTACGACGGCACAGTTTTGCTAAGCGCCTCTCTGTGACTCCAATAGTGATGATGGCTCAAACTTATTTATGATAGTAAATAACGTCAGTTAAATAATTTGAGAAAGTTTTATTTCGTGTTAAATACAAATAAATATTTTAATAAAATTAAATCAAGCAATTAATTAGTCATTTAGACTTATAAAATTAATATTAAACATACAAATATATTGCCTTTAGGAAAACATCTATGAAATTGCAAATCAATGTAATAAATTATTATTATTATTAATAACAAATAATTCGGGTGATTGTTGTAGTCAATGGGGCCCGACTAGTAGATGGTGCAGAGCTTGGTGTGGACACCCCTTCGACATACGACAATGAGTCCGAAATTCTAAATTGGTCTTCTATTTGGCGTACATGTTTGCAACATTTATGCCAATAATGACCATCAATTGAATTAATTGAATTAACAATTAATTTACGAAATTCTGTTGTTGAAAATCCAACATTTTTATTAATTATGAGCCGTTTTATTTCAGCCCATATTAATTCGATTGGATTCAATTCGCAATTATAAGGAGGAGTTCGCAAAGGGATATGACCAGCTGTTCTAATCATATTGTCAACAACATATTCTCGTTTGTGACGATATTGTTTGACAATTTCCATTAAATCGACTTTTCGACACTTTTGTTCGAATGATATGTTATTATTATTAAGCCATAATTTGATTTCCGCCACTTTCCAACTCCAAGTTGGTAACCTAATGTATTAAAGTACAGATACGTTATGAATGACAAATATAAAGGGCATAAGTAATGACGAAGGGCTGGCAAATTGCATTTTTTACATACCTTTCGATGAATCGTGAATGTGTTTTCGCGTTATCTAACACAATGACTGATTTTGTAGTCAATTTGTCCAATAATTGTGTTTTAAGCCATTTCTCGAACTTATCGGCATTCAGTTCTTCGTTTACTTTAAGCAACAGAGCGTCGGGACAAAACCCCATCTCACCCCCAGCGTGAAGGACACTAAAACGCAATCCCCTATTTGGAACTAATAATGACATTAAGTTATTTGAAATTAATTTAAAATCAAAATATGAATAATTGTAAGTTAAACCATGACATGACAACCAATGACATTCTTTGGCTACATTATTGATCCTGGTCACAATTCTACCGGTAATCACAACATTAGCGCCCAAAATGGCAAACAGTTTGACAATACCTGCGCCGATACCACTGTTAGATCCGGTGACCAACACTACTCGTCATATAAAGTTACAATTATTCATTTATAAATTCTTACTTGAAGAAAATTTTAGCCTTATTTTTTTGGATTTGTTTAAAGGCAACAAAATCTTTGTCTTCGTAATATTCTTATGGATGTAAGTCTCATCCAAGTATATAATTGGATAAGACTTTTCGAGAATCTCTTTTTTCTTCAAATATTCAATCCTTAGTCTTGTAATCTCTTTACTGTATATTTTCTCATCTCTGAAAAATAACATATATATTTATAAAGAGATATCTATTTAATAACAAAAGTGGGTAATAATGGATGAAATCAAGAGCGAGAAGACAACTACTATTGAGGTAAAGATCATAAAATTGAAGCTTAAAAAGGAAAAAAATTAAATGAAAAGTTACCGCCAAAGAGCAAAAATTAATATTTCTAACCTGAAGATTCTCTTTGAACAAATGTTTTTGTATTCCATTTTTACCAAAGTTTTTCGAAATGTTCTCGATTTATATTTTTTAAAACTAAGAGGTGATGTGTTATCAGCTTTTACATCTTTGTAAATTTCGTTAATATTTGGCACAATTCCATTGTTGAATAACTTTGTTATTACATCATCAATGATCTCTTTATCATTGTGATTGTATGGATACATAGGTTTCCGGTTTCTCGTCTTTTTTGGCGAAACAGTTCCATCGATCCTAAAATTAAGCTCTGCGTCAATATGGGGGTGTAGGGATATCATTATGAACTTACCCGAGAATTCGATATACGGATCGCACACTAATACCGTACTCTTTGGCCACTCTCTTTGGTATTTTCTTTTGTACTTCATTTGGATTATTAGTTAATTCAACATATTTGTTGAACACAAGTTGTCTGACTTGAGAACTAATTATCACACGTTTCTTTGGTTTCACTTTAACATTTTCTTTATTCATTTTAAAATTAATCTAAAAATAGAAGCACAATTAATTAAACACAATTGAATACACATTAAATACACTTTAATACAAAATATTAAAATACATAAATACCAATTAATTGTTGAATCCTTTGATTGTCTGATTGTATCACTTCTTCATCAGTGGATCTCTTGTGTTGTGTTTGTTGTCTATAATTGTCTTCAATTTGATCCAAATCTTCGGCTTTTATATCATTTAAATAAATGAAACAATTTTTGGTGTCTTTTAATAAATTGATTTGTTTTATGAAATGGTTTTCAAAACACATGGCATTATTTATGTCCACATGTCTGATAGAGTATGAATTGTGAATGATTTTACACTCATACTCACTAGATAACGCTTTTATGCCCAAAAAAAACTGTGCCGTAGTAAAATGCACCAACAATAATTGTTTTCTTTTCATATTTATATTATAAAATAGTTTAAAATAAATATTTTACAAACTGTAAATTAAAATTAAATTATTTATTTAAACATATGTTTGATTTATATCTATTTTCTATTGGCCTACAAAAAACAAGATTTAATAAAACATTATATTTATAAAGATTATATATTTTATTAATTTTATACTGAAACATTCTTGAAATATATTTAAAAATTAATATAAATATTTTTTAAATAGTAGGCTTTTATCCA